ATCCAGGCCCTAAACCCGACAAAATCCAGGCCCTAAACCCGACAAAACTGAGACCCAAAGCCAACAAAATCCAGATGCAAAATGCCCAAAATCTTGGGCCTAACGTGCCAAAATCCAGACTCTAAATCCACCAAAATCCAGGCCCCAAAACATCCAAAATCCAGATCTAAAATCCCCAAAATCCAGGCCCCAAACCCACCCAAAACCCAGGCCCCAAAACATCCAAAATCCAGATCTAAAATCCCCAAAATCCAGGCCCCAAACCCACCCAAAACCCAAATCCCCAAACCCAGACCCCAAATCCCCAAACCCAGACCCAAAACAGAACTATGGGCAGTTGCGATGGAAGCAGGTGAGTTTCAGCACCCAATCTGCCCCCCGATCCCAGCAGGAGGAAGGAATTCCCAGTGCCCCCCTACCTTGCTGACGTTGAGGGAAGCTAAGGGGGGAGGCGTTTCCGTGTGGTCATTGATTATTTCCACTTCTGACACATACTGTAAGTTTACGAGCAGGATGTCTGCGTGGTTGGGCTTCCCACTGGAAGAAGGGCATTCTGGAAGGGGGAAAATTAAGGAAAACGAATCCAGAGGGAGGTATTTATGGGCTTGACACAGCCCAGGAGCAAACTGGGAGAAGGTCTGGTTGCCAGTGAGTTCCTCCACTCCCGTGTCCCTGCCCAGCCAAGCTTGGCGTCATCCATGATCCCAGGAAAGCCACACGTCTCTTTTTGGGGTTATTTAACGCTGATCCCAGTTTTCCTGACTCCAGATTGAGTTTTCCAGCCCCACCCAGCACAGCCCAGTCACTGGTTTGAACCAGTACCACCAAATCTGCACTTTTTACACCAGAGTATTTCCTCTGGCAAGAAGTGGCTCAGCCAGAGGAGCATTCCCTCACCTAGATGGAAAAGAATTCCCAGGAAAGGCCTCCTTGCCCTCACGCACGAGGTTGGTATCACTGTTGCAAATACCCCCACCCCCTTCCAGAACTGACAATTCATGGACTGCATGGATTTCTGCACTATCTGTTCCCATGAGGATGGACAGAGCAGGGAGCATAGCATGGAGACCCTCTTCCATGCCAACACCATCTCCTCATGGAAGAGATCCTTGTGGAAGTCCCAGTTCCTCTCTCCCAGCCCTCCGTGAGCCCAAGGTGGAGCCCTCCCTAAAAAATGCCATTCAATAATGAGGAGAAAGTAAGGGATGCCAGGGAATTCCTGCACAGAATTCTGGTCTCTCCCTTCAGGAGGATGAGCTGGAGCATCCCAGCTTTGGCATGAGGAAAACCAGGCTCAGGGAAAAGCCAGAAGAGGAGCACTCAGTCCCCTCTGGAGCAGATCAGCAGCACTGAGACACCTGTTGGAAATCCTCTTGGATTTTCCTGCTGCCCCCAGTGGCATCTGGGAGCTCCTCCAACTTCAACCACATCCCAGGCACCCAGGGAGGCTTTTCCCATCGTGTTTCCCACAGCTCCTGCCACAAACCCCTCTCCCTGCCCCTCATTCCCTCTGAAACCCACCCTTGGGCTCCCAGAACTCCAACCTCAGACCCAGGGCTGAGAACCCCCTTTTCCCCCTCTCCACGGTCCCTCCACGGTTTTCCAACAGCCCTTGGCTTTTCCCATTCCTTGCAGATTCCAAACAAAAGCATATCCAAATACATGTATATTGGGGGGCCCACAGCACCCCCAACCCCCCCCATCTCCTTCACTTCCCAAGGTCTTCTCCCAGCACACTGGAGAGTCCACTTGTGTCCCCAAATCTCTCCTACACCCCCCTGCACCCCCCAACCCTCAGACCTCATTCTGACTCCCCTTAAATCCCCCACAGGGGTCTCTTGACCCCCTTCCTATGGGATCCCACCCCTCCAGGCCTCCCCCATCTTCCCTGGACCCCCCCAGGCCCTGCCCACCACACAGGACCCCTCTGTGCCCTCTCTGCACCCCAAAATAGGTCCCCGACCCCTTCCAGGAACCCCCCAGGGCTCCAAAATCTGCCCCCCCTCAAGACCTCCCTCCTCCTCCCTGAACCCCACAGGGTGCCCCTGTCCCTCCCAAAACCCCTCCAGCCCTGTGGGAAACCCCTGATCCCAGGTCCTTATGGAGCTACACCCCCACCAAATCCCCTACAGGGATCCCCCAGAACCCTCCTACATGGCACCCACCCCCTCAAAACCCCATTGAGGCCTCCCCAATAACCCCATTCTGGAGCTCCTGAGTCCCCCAAAACCTCCCTATAAGGCACTCCCACCTTCCCCCCCAGTAACTCCACTAAAGGGCTCCTCAGTCCCTCCAAAACTACCCTACAGGGTGCCCCATTCCCCCAAAAAACCTCTATAGACACCCCACTTTACCCCCAAAACCCCCCCAAAAGGGTCCCCCCCCCCCCCCCCTCCCCCCCCACTAAGGGGCTCCCCAAAAACCCCCCCCCCCCCCCCCCCAAACCTCCCTATAGGGCATCCTCTTGCCCCCCCACTTACCCCAATAGAGGGCATCTCACTTCACCCCAAAAAACCCTATAGGACACCCCACTCCCAATACAGGGTTCCTCACTTCCCCCAACCACCCCAATACAAGGTTCTTCACTCCTCCCCAAAACCTCTCTATAGGGCACCTTCTTGCCCCCTCCTTCACCCCAATACCGGGCTCCCCATTTGCCCCCAAAAAACCTTATGGGGCACCCCCTTGCCCCCTCTTAACCCCAATATAGGGCTCCTCACACCGCTCCATTCACCCTAGTACAGGGTTCCTCACTTGCCCTCAAAAAACTCTCCCTATATGGTGCCTCCCCCAATAACCTCACAGCGGCTCTTCACTCTACCCCAAAACCTCCCAACCCCATTCATCCCAATACAGAACACCCCACTGCCCCTCAAAAAACTCTATAGGGCACACCACCCCCCATTCATCCCAATGCAGGGCTCCCCAATTCCCCTACCCAAAAAAAACCCTATAAAAAACCCACACTCACTCCATTCACCCCAATACAGGACACCCCACTCCCCCTCAAAAACGTCTCTATAGGGCACCCCCTTTCCCTTCCTTCCCCCCAATACAGGGCTTCTCATTCCCCCCACTCACCCCAATCCAAAGCTCTTCACTCCCCCCCAAAACCTCTCTATAGGGCATCCCCTTTCCCTTCCTTCACCCCATCACAGATCACCCCACTCCCTCCCCAAAAAACCCTGTAAGACACCCCGTTCCCCCATTCACCCCAAAACCGGGCTCCTCACTCCCCTCCAACCACCCCAATACATGGCTCTTCACTCCCCCCAAAAACCTCTCTATAGGGCACCCTCTTTCCCTCCCTTCACCCCAAAACAGGGCTCCTTACAGCCCCCCATTCACCTCAATACAAGGCTCCTCACTTCCCCCAAAAAACCCTATAGGACATCCCCCACTCACCCCAAAACAGGGCTCCTCACACCCCCCCATTCGCCCCAATAAGAGGCTTCCCACTCCCCCCCCAAACCCCCCTGT